TTCGGACAGATTGGGACAACGTGGCTCAAGGTTGATTTCCGCAGCCTTACCTTGATCCACAACCACAAAACAATTGAGCTCGCATTCAAAGTCAGCTCTCAGCAGACACATGCACGCTGCTCCACATCATCACTTCTAGTATCCCTAATGGCCCTGCAGCGAAATAGTAACCCTTGAGGGAACCCGTCTTCGGAAAACCGGCGAAAACCCTTATCGTGGTCCATGTCGTAACGCTTACAGGGACCCTTGACCCTTACAGTGACTCTCATAGAAGCCCCTGTACTAAGCACTATAGTCACTTTAGTAACCGTTCTGGTGAACCTAGTTGTGTACCCGAAAGGAACCGTTTAGGCGACCTTTGCAGGAACCCTTCCAGCAATCTTTAAAGGTGCTGCAAACCCTAAACCCCATACCTGAAACCTGCACCCTCAGCCCCAACACCCAAAACCCTGAACCCTAAACTGTAGAGTTCAGGGTTCAGGGTTTCTGTCTTTGGAGTTCAGAACCCTGAACCCTAAACCCCGAACCCCGAACCCGAAACCATAAAACCCTCCCGCCTCCCGGACACTCGTGTCTCGGTCTCTTGGAGGAAGCGACTTCCGCGCCCTCGCCCCCCTCATCGCAGAATGGAGCCATCGGCTTCGCGGCGCTGAGGCTTCGGGGGCTTAGGGCTTTTGGGCGGCCCAAAGAGTGCTTTAGGGCTTCGGGTTTAGGGCTTGGGGGCCCTACACCTTAAACCCTAAACCCTGCTTCTGTTTTTAAAGTGGGCATGTGCTCTCCATGAACCCTGGGGATTTTTAGGGCTTCGGGCTGTTTGGGTTTAGGGGAGGTTGGGGGTTTCAGGAGTTTCGGGCTTTGGTGTTGAGGAATTCCTAAGGGTTCACCACATGCATTCTACATGGCTTTGGGTTTTCGGGCTGTTGAGGGTTACAAGTCTGGACTCCTTGCGTCGCTCTTGGAGGGCTTAGGGCTTCAGGGTACCTCCCCATCGTCTGCTCCCTGAGACTGTCTGCACAAGCTTACTTTCAGATTCCCACCTTAACATATATATATATATATATAGGAAAGGTTATAGAGCAATGATCGCGCCATATCATGAACGCCTCTGCTTGAGAGCAAACTCGAAGGCGGTGTCGCAGATGATGAAGTCTTTCCGGGTTTGACCACGGGCGCGAAGCTCCTGAATGCTCATGGCAGTCCCCTGGACCCTCGGTTTAGCGCCTAAGGGGTTTTTGGTGTTTAGGGACTCTAGGCCTTAATTTGAACAGGGTTTAGGCTTCTGGCTTTAGGGCCCAGCAAGGGTTCACCCTAAACCCTAGACCCTAAACCCTAAACCGGCAGGGGGGTCCTTAATCAGGGGTCTTAGAATGTCTCCGCAAAGCCGCAAACCTCCGGCCGAAACCCTGCCGAGCACCGCCCCTGCACAAAAAATCTGCCCATTGAAAGGTAGAGGCCCCAAGCAAGACCCCTAAACTCTAAACCCCTAAACCCTTAACCCTAACCTTAAACCCTTAACCTTAAACCCCTAAACCCTATAAACCCTAAAACCCAAACCCCTGAACCCTAAACCCCTAAACCCTAGACCCCTAAACCCTAAATTCGAAAGCACTCCGAAGGGATGCGAAGTGCCCTCATGACCGCTGCCGGGGGCAAGGCGTCCGTCCTCCATGACCTTCTGAGGGTTTAGGGTTTAGGGGTTTAGGGTTTAGGGGTTTAGGGTTTAGGGGTTAGAGTCTTTTCTTGAGGAAGTTGCCTTGATGCTGGTATTTTTGTGATTATCATGACGATGATTATTCGTACTGCCAGCTTGTCGTCCTATTAATATTGTTGTTATTTGTATTGCTCTACTTAATAATGTACATGCATATTGTTAATGTGAATGTTGCTATTATTCGTAGTTTCGCTAGACTAATGCTTTCAGAAATCCTTCTTGGGGCTTGTGGGCCCCAGCGTCGCAGCCAGCTGCTTCTGGGGGTTTAGGGTCTGGGCTGCTTGGGCGTCTGGGTCTCTCCTTCTTTATGAACCTTGCTTTACGGCTTCGGGTTTGACCTTAAACTCTACACCGTAAATCTTTCAGGGTTATAGATGATTCTTGTGGAATCTAAGATTCAGGATTTGCGGGCTTCGGGTTTAGTAGGGTGTCGAGCTGATTCGAGAGCGCTCGTGAAATGTATGATGTAGAAATCTACGTTGACCTCTGGGGTCGGAGGGCCGCCCTCGGTTTATGGTGCTTGGGTGTCCGAGAAACCTAGGTCTTCACAGTAGGGATTAAAGGGTGGACCGGGATTTTGGTTTAGGGTTTAGGGCCTAGGGGAATTTGGGGTGCAGGCTTAAGGATGTTGAGCTGAGTTAAGGGGTTTGGGTTCAGGGTTTAAGGGGATTTGGTGTGCAGGCGTAAGGATGTTGAGTTGACGGGTTTGGGGCTTAAGGGGTTGGAGAGGTCAGGAAGTTGGGACGTCACTATCTCCTGCAGTTTAATCCTCAATCCGCGCTCCTACCTTTTACATGAACAGTCCAGATGCCAAATCCATAAACCCAAACGCTCATAAATGCTAAACCCGAAAGCCTTAAACCCGAAAGCCTAAACCCCGAAGATCCATCTTTCACTGCCGAAACCTACTTGTTTGTTGGGGTCGGTATCAAGTTTGGGTTTGGGGTTTAAGACTTTTTTGTAGCGTCCCTCCAAAATGTTGGTTTTAGTTGTTTGTGGTTTAAAGTTGGGTGTTTTAAATTGGCTTTAGGGTTTTAGGCTTTACAAGTATCATCTACAACGAAGTAGGATATGGTAGCATGAGGTAGACTCAAAGCTCGAGGGCGTTGGCTCGGGCGTTGAGGCCTAAGGTTCAGGGCTTTAGAGTTTAGGGCCGTTAGGGCTTTGGATTTCGGGTTTAGGGTTCCGGGTCTAGGATTAAGGGTTTAGAAGTGACATTCGGGGTTTAGGAATTAGTGCTGGGGGTAATCCTGAAGCTGTATTCTAAATGTGCACTCTCATAGAAACTACAAGCCCTTAAACCCTACAACCCAACCCAAAAACTTTAAAATATATCACCACAATAGAAACAATAGAACCCTGAACTCTGAATCTGTGTACCCTCCCTCGGTCCGCAGGCACCTGACTCGCTCGCCACCGTGCGAGGCCAAACTGGCCGCGTGCCAGAACCTCACTGCGTGCTGGATGGAGTCCTTGTTATGGGGCTTAACTTTATACGGCTGTGTGAAGGGGCGTTGCGGGGTTCCACCAATCCACGGTTCTGCAGGGTCTTCTTCGAGCTTTAGGGTTGCGGAAGTCAGTTTAAATATGCATCGATAGCTCCAGCAACCAGTATGGGCTCCGGGTAACTGGAACGTCCTCAATAGCTTTAGGGCCTTTAGATTTTGGGGAGACAGGAGCTTTGATAGTGTTTGGGTGAGGTATGGCTTAGGATTTGGGATTTGGCGTCCCTTTAACCTGAACCTTGAACGCTAAAACCCAAAACAACCTCTAAACCCCAGCCCCTAAACCCAGAAGCTCTATAATCCCTAAAGCTCCTGAAGCCTGTTGCCCTAAACCAGTAGCTGTAATTTAGGGACCCGATCCCCGCGCGCCACCGGTTTTCATGAAGGATCACCTGTTATAAGAGACTTTTGCATAAGGGTTTTAGAGGAGGCTCCCTTCCGAGGAGCTCTTGGGGCTTCACGTGTTCGGGCATTGTTGGTTTGGAGGTGCAGGGCTTTGGGTTTTGTACCAGGGTTTGGGGAATCTAAGGGATTTGTGGCGGCAAGGCCCTTTTAAGCTCCGCTTGGCACACTTGTTGTCAGAGACATGTTTTCTCAGCAGCTTTATGCAAGATGAAAGCATCCGAGCGGTTGCCGGTTCGGTTCTGTGGTTCGAAATCCGACAGGAATCCTTACAGAACTCCGCTAAATACCTTTAGGGAATCGGCCAGCAGAAGACACGAAGGTCCCTAGACCAGACATCCGTACTTGTCCAGTATCCTAGAGGAACTCAAGAAGAAGCTTGGGATGATAACAGGGCCCCAAAAAAGCTTGGGTTTATTGTAGAGCTGAGGGTTTAGAGTCTAGTTTAGGGTTTAGTATGGGTTTAGGGTTTAGAAGCCATCTACAATAGCTGGAAACCTTTTGGCGTCGGGGTTCTTCTGTTTTCTCGATCCTTCAAAGAAGTCTGGGCGCTAGGAAAAAGATGAGGACAGACCCGGATGTCTTATGGCGCAACCCGGGCGCCACCGCTCCGCAACCTGGGGACAGGGCTTCATGTATGGTTTTGGGGTTCATTATGACTGCAAGTGTAAATACTGTTGATGGACAAAATTCTGCATGACCCAAATATAGTATAGTACCATAAATCCCATAGTTTAGGTATATAAAGTCATGCAGGATTTTGTCCATCAGCCGTAAGAGACCTTAAGGGGTAATAGTGGTACAGCAAGTACTCCGAGTCCTACAATCCATCTTGAGGTCTTCCAGTTGGCCCAATCCTTCCCGTTATTTGTGGGACCCTTCGAAAACAAAGAGCACCAAGCCGCTGAAGTGGCTTGATATAGGGGGCTTGACAATTACCTATATTAGTTTGGGTGGTCCTTCTTATAATCACAGCAAAACATACACCAAAACCTTATTCTAATGTTAAGGCTCCTACATTACGTTTACGGCTTAAGGCTTCTAAGGGTTTACTTTGCGAGAAACCAGCCGGAAAGGGGGCCATTCTTTCACGACTGTCCTTGAGAAAAGGGTGCTATATGGGGCTGCATTCTAGCTGCAAGAAGGATTGTAGCTTCCAAGTTCCTCGTGAGTAATGACCCTAAACCCTAAATTAGAAGGGGCTCCTTGAGATGATTTGCGGGGTTGAGGCTCTTTAGGTTCAATGGTGTCCGATTCCCTACGCCTCAGCCCTAAACATGAAAGCCTACTGTCAATGTACGGGTGAAACGGGAGGTAAAGGCTTTCCAGTACTAGTATCCGCGACATGACACCTCCCAAGACACACACACACACATGCCCACCCATTTTCATAAGGAGGCCCCGCATAAACGATACCTCATGCGTAGCTAGATCATGCCACATACGACTATAAGCGTTACGACCTAGCACGACATACTGCTTCAGATGACCATATATTGCTTTGCCCCTCCCATAGCAGTAACCATCTGATAATCCTGGAAAGCCAGGCTGCCATCTTCAAACAACAGCAGCCTCTAAACCACAACCGAGACCCCAACAACTAAACCCTTAATGGAGACCCCTCAGGAACTGAGTCGTGGGTTGCTTAGGGACTATGCGGGGATGCTTCTCGCAAAAGTTCGCTATAATCAACCCAAAACCTGGAAATCCCTAAGACTCGAAGCCTTAAACGAACACGGTTTGTCTGAACCTTGTAGAACCTTTGGGGCCCTGTTCCTATTACACTCTTAAACACTTAGTTACTCAAGATCGATGTAGATTCCTCATCAGGCCCGGACGAGACACTAAGCACAAACACTCTTCCGAAGGATCCGCCCTGAACCCCTACACGAACCCTAAACGCTTTGGCTCTTGCGTTATTTTGGTGGGCAGCCCTATGTTCTTAAGGGTTGAATAGGAAGCCCATTACTTTCAGGATTTAGTAGAAAGCCCACTTCCTTAAGGATTTACAGTAATTAGAAGCCAGAAAGCTGGAACATCATTATTCTCTTGCCCGTAAGGTACAGCACAGGGAATTCCAGCACTAATCGTCCTAAATCCATGTTCCAACGCTCCCCTGAACCCTCAACCCTAGACCCTAAACCCTAAACCCTAAGGCCCCACATCCCCGCCTTCGCCGACGAGGTAGCCATCCGCCGAGGTGCCGAAAGGGGCTGAGCGGCCGGTGCGGGAAAGCCTGCTGTGGGACACTACTTAGGGTTTGGGGTTTAGGGCTTAGGGTTTAGGGTTTAGGGTCTAAGGATTAGGGATTAGGGTTTAGGGTTTAGGGATTAGGGTTTAGGGTTTAGGGATTAGGGTTTAGGGTTTAGGGATTAGGGCTTAGGGTTTTAGGGTTTAGGGATTAGGGTTTTTTTTTGACCGGACCTTTTTCCTCCCTGCTAGGGTTTAGGGTTTAGTCTCCCCTTCTAAAGGTTTTTGGGTTTTGGGTTTCAGGCTTAGGATTTGCTCGAACAGAAAGAGGACCTGAATAATCGCAATAGGGTTTGCATTATATAGGCTTCTATATTGGGGCTGTTTGCGTGATTCACAGGATTTCATGTGACTTCAAAGTGTGTCTGGAAATTTTCTGGGGTTTCGCATCCTCCTGCGGTCTTTCGGGGGTTTGGGCTTGGGGTGGTTGAGATAAGGTGTTGGATAATTGGGCTCCTGGGATTGGGAGATTTGACTTGGGCGTACTGTTTTGGGTTTGGGATTTAGGTCAGGTGCTTTGGGTTTTGGGGTGTGGGTTCTTTAGTGTTTCGGTATTGGGGTTTGAGCCGGTGGTTTGGCGTTTGGGATAGAGCGTCAGGGCCCACTGTCCCTTGACTCGCCCTTGACCAGTTCATCATCTACCCCGAATTACCATGGTACGGATATATCGCTTCAGTGGGGGTATTGGGGCTCTCCTTTGTCGTTGCTCCGGGGAGGGGGGATATCTGGTGAGGGCTTAGGGTTCAGGGCTTGGGGCCGGTTCAGGGTCCAGGACCTTGTTGTTGTAGGACTAGGGTTTAGGGTTTAGGGTTTAGGGGCATATCATCAGTGCACCCCATCAACGAGAAGACCTTGTACACAAGCCGTTCAGGCACAGAGTGTCTGACGATAAAACAGGCCAAGAACACTCCAAATAAAACCCAACTCCCCAGAATGTAGGGGCCCTAATAACTACCTATAGTATTTTCTGGGGGTTCCTTATTAGAACTACAGTAGAGTGGGCCCGGAAACCCTATTCTAACTATTAAGGCCCCTACATTTTCCATGGCCCCTCAACCCGCAAAAAGCCCTTAATGCTCGACCCTGGCGTCGCAACCCCAAACCCCAAGACCCTGCGACCCCAAACCGAAGAATTTTGAGGCAGCACCGGCCCCTCGCAACCTGCAGCCCCTGGGAACCCAACCGCTGCAAAACCCTACCCTAAACCCCTAAACCCCTCAAGCCCTAAACTGTAAACCCCTAAACCCCCAAACCCTGAACCCTAAACCTGTAAACCCCTAAACCCTAGACCCCTAAACCCCGAACCTTAACCCCTAAACCCTCACCACGAAAGCACCTCGAGCTCTGAACTCCAAGCACTGAAGGGTTCACAAGAGGTCAGACATATTTTGGATCCCGAAGACGTCAGCTCATCATCATCCCCCCATCATACAAGAATCATCAGCATAATGCTATAACCATATAGCGCCTGTAACGTGATGTGCGTGAGCGTAAGTGTTTTTTGAAAATGTACACACCTAAGCATATATCTGTGTGTGTATATATATATATATACATACATATATGTATTTGTTAATTTATTTATACAGATACACCAAGTTGGCCTCTTAAAGCCTCTGAAAGACGCTTAAGCCCAGTGAGGGAAATATGAAATATCCCCAAAGGTCTACCTAGCTTTTAGCGGCTTCATGAAATCTTGCAGGGCTGTTATAATAGTTTCGGAATACAGGTTTAGGGTTTTTGATACCCAAGCCCGGAGCCAAGCACTGTAGAAGGGGAAAAAAGGTCCGGATCCTTGAGAAACCGAGTCAAAAACAAACCCCCTAGCTGAGCTTTTAGGGCTTTACAGTTTTGCCATCTAAACGCTGATTTAGTATGTTTCCTGAGAGTTTTGGGCTTCTAACTGAAGGTGTTGAGGAATCTATCAGGGCTCGGACAGCTACGCAGCTACGCAACCCAGCCCTAAATCTTGAATCCAAGACTTAAAAAAAACTTAAACCCTATAAACCCCTAAACCCTGAACCCGAACCCCCCCTAAACCCCCAAAAGCGAAAAGCGAGATACAGGGCCCCAGCAGGTTGATCGAGGAGCGGGCGAAAAACATCAGCGGGCTTAGCATGTAGTTCACGCCTTGACTGCCGCTTGTTGGGTTGCTGTTCCTAATGTTGGGGCCTTGATGATTAGAATTGGGTTTTGGGGGTTCTATATTATAATTATTGTATAAAATACCCCAAAACCCAATTCTGGTTCTTAAGGCCCCTATATTAAACGGTTGCGTGTTTAGGGGGCTCCTGTTAAGCTCGTGGGGCTACACTTTAGGGTTCAGGTTTTTGGGGGTAAGAGTTTTCGGGTTTAGGGTTAAGTGGACTCTGCCGAATCCTGCGTCTCGCCAGAGGCCACTCGGGCGATCTTTTCGTCTGACGCTGTCAAAAGCATCTTGTCTGCGAGTTCTCTGATGTCCGCACGTCTTCTTCATATCGCTGTGCACAGTGCTGCATTGGCTGCTCACCCTGCAACGTGACTTGCAGCCATTCTTGGTGCTTCTTGGTGCCTTGGCACACAGCGATGCGGGTTTCCGAAAGTGCGACTCTAAACCTACCCTAAACCCTAAACCCTAAACCCTAACAGCCTGAACCTGGAACCGTCCAAGCCCTTAATGTAGGGGCCTTAGAAACTAGAAAAGGGATTTGGGGCATTATACTATAATCATAATAAGGAACCCTCAAAGCCCTTATCCCAGTGCTTACTTCAAACACCCCCGACAGGCCCACTGCTGCTGCTGCTGCGCTTTGCGGGTTCAGGGTTCAGGCCGTACCCAGACTTGAAGGTCTGTACCGCAAACACGAGTCCCAGGCCCAGCGCCAGCGCCAGCGCTGCCCGGCGACGGCCCACAGCTGAGGCCGCCAGGTCCGCGGCGACGAGGGAGGAGGAGCAACCTCGCTTTAAGAAGGGCTCCTTGATGGGTTCTATAAAGCAACCTCGCTTTAAGACAAGCTTTGGGGATTGAGGGTTGTTCTATAAGCGTCCGAGAAACGTTTTTGGGACTTTCGGGGCAACCTCGGTTTAAGAAGGATTTTGATGATTTGACTTTCGTGCTTAGGGCTTCGAGACTTGATTTTGAGTCTTCAGATACAGGGCTTGCAAGCTTTAGGGCCTTATAATAGCTAGAATAGGGTTTTGGCGTATGTGCGGACATAAGTCTGGTGCAAATGAAGCTTGAGATGGCTTGTGCATCCGTTGAACTCTCAGCTATCTTTGAGCTGTTCTTCTAACTGAGCTTGGTTATGATACTTTCAATGCCAGTAAGCATCGAATCAAACTTAGCTGACCATTCGTCGAGAACATGTACAGGAAAATCAATCGGCGAATGACAGTTAGGTGTAAGATTACGCGGCTCAGAAGAGAAGTTCAACAACTTCTTGCAGCACACACAGGAGTCGGTAGCCTCCCATTTAGGTTGAAGCAAGTGTGTGCGAAAAGTGTTTTCCAGAATTTGATTTTGCTTGTATCT